AGAATAGACACAGCCAACAGCACATAAACAGACACATATACATAAAGTGACAACACCATCATGCAGATTAATGGTAAAGATTTCAAACAAATAGAGTAAAAAAAACTGACAAACACAGTGCTCACAATAAATACAAACACAAACAGTGACAACACAAACATGCACAGTAATCAAAATATATGAAAACAAACACAGTCAAAATACAGACATACACAGCGATTAGAAAAAATTTGACATGTACAGTGACAATACTAACATTCACCATAATAAGAATGAACACAACGAAAAGGAGTGGAAACGAAGTTGTACACAGTCATCTCATAATGTACAAACACATTCAGTAACAATACAGAATAGACACAGCAGACAGAATATAAAGAGACACATAGAGATACAGTGACAACACCATCATGAAGAGCAATAGTAATGATTACAAACAAATAGAGTGACAAAACTGACATACACAATGCTCACAATAAATACAAACACGAACAGTGACAACACAAACATGCACAGTTACCAAAATAAATAAAAACAAATACAGTTAAAATACAGACAAACACAGTAATTAGAAACAAATTTCACATGTACAGTGAGAACAGTAACATTTACCATAATGTGAATGAACAAAATGCAAAAGAGTGAATACGAAGTTGTATACAGTCATCTCATAATGTACAAACACATTCAGTAACAATACATAATAGACACAGGAAACAGAATATAAACAGACACATTGACCTACAGTGACAACACCATTAATTCAGAGTAATAGTAATGATTACAAACAAATAGAGTAGCAAAACTGACATACACAGTGCTCACAAAAAATACAAATATCAACAGTAATAAGACCAACAAACACAGTAATCAAAATAAATACAAACAAACACAGTCAGAAAACAGACAAAGACGGTGATTAGAAAAAAAATTCACATGTACAGTGACAACAATGACATTCACCATAATGAGAATGAACACAAGGAAAAAGAGTGAAAAAATTTCAAATGTACAGGGACAACAGTAATATTCAGCTCTGACAATGAGCACAAGATAAAAGAGTGAAAACAAAGTCATACACAGTCATCTTGTTATGAACAAACACATTCAGTAACAATACAGAATAGAAACCGCAAACAGCATATAAACAGACACATAAACATATAGTGACAACACCATCATGGAGAGTAACGGTAATGATTACAAACAAATAGACTAAAAAAAACTGGCATACACAGTGCTCACAATAAATACAAACATCAACAGTAACAACACCAACAAACACAGTAATCAAAATATATAAAAACAAACACAGTCAAAATACAGACAAACACAGTGATTAGAACAAATTTGACGTGTACAGTGACAACAGTAACATTCACCATAATGAGAATGAACACAACGAAAAAGAGTGAAAACAATGCCATACACAGTCATCACAATATATATAAATACATTCAGTAACAATACAGAATAGAAACAGCAAACAGCATATAAACAGACACATAGACATAAAGTGACAACACCATCATGCAGAGTAATGGTAAAGATTTCAAACAAATAGAGTAAAAAAAACTGACAAACACAGTGCTCACAATAAATAGCAAACACAAACAGTGACAACACAAACATGCACAGTAATCAAAATATATAAAAACAAACACAGTCAAAATACAGACATACATAGTGATTAGAAAAACTTTGACGTGTACAGTGACAACAGTAACGTTCACCATAATGGGAATGAACACAAGGAAAAAGAGTGAAAACAAAGTCATACACAGTCATCTCATAATGTACAAACACATTCAGTAACAATACAGAATAGACACAGCAGACAGAATATAAAGAGACACATAGAGATACAGTGACAACACCATCATGAAGAGCAATAGTAATGATTACAAACAAATAGAGTGACAAAACTGACATACACAATGCTCACAATAAATACAAACACGAACAGTGACAACACAAACATGCACAGTTACCAAAATAAATAAAAACAAATACAGTTAAAATACAGACAAACACAGTAATTAGAAACAAATTTCACATGTACAGTGAGAACAGTAACATTTACCATAATGTGAATGAACAAAATGCAAAAGAGTGAATACGAAGTTGTATACAGTCATCTCATAATGTACAAACACATTCAGTAACAATACATAATAGACACAGGAAACAGAATATAAACAGACACATTGACCTACAGTGACAACACCATTAATTCAGAGTAATAGTAATGATTACAAACAAATAGAGTAGCAAAACTGACATACACAGTGCTCACAAAAAATACAAATATCAACAGTAATAAGACCAACAAACACAGTAATCAAAATATATAAAAACAAACACAGTCAAAATACAGACAAACACAGTGATTAGAACAAATTTGACGTGTACAGTGACAACAGTAACGTTCACCATAATGAGAATGAACACAAGGAAAAAGAGTGAAAACAATGCCATACACAGTCATCACAATATATATATACACATTCAGTAACAATACAGAATAGACACAGCAAACAGCATGTAAACAGACACATAGACATAAGGTGACAACACCATCATGCAGAGTAATGGTAAAGATTTCAAACAAATAGAGTAAAAAAAACTGACAAACACAGTGCTCACAATAAATACAAACACAAACAGTGACAACACAAACATGCACAGTAATCAAAATATATGAAAACAAACACAGTCAAAATACAGACATACACAGTGATTAGAAAAAATTTGACGTGTACAGTGACAACAGTAACGTTCACCATAATGGGAATGAACACAACGAAAAAGAGTGAAAACAATGCCATACACAGTCATCACAATATATATATACACATTCAGTAACAATACAGAATAGACACAGCAAACAGCACGTAAACAGACACATAGACATAAAGTGACAACACCATCATGCAGATTAATGGTATTTATTACAAACAAATAGAGTAAAAAAAACTGATATACAAAGAGCTCACAATAAATACAAACATCAACATAAACAAACTGACATAAAAAGTGATCAGAATAAATTTTAACATGTACAGTGACAACACAACCATGCATAGTAACAAGAATAAACACAAATTAATCGGGTGATTACACAGTCATACACAGTGATCACAATATATATACAAACACATTCAATGACAATACAGAATGGAAACATTTATCAGAGTTTAAACAGACACATAAACTATAATGACAGTGACAACACCACCATGCACACTTAAAATAATGACTAATAATAAATATACTGACAAAACTGACTTTCACATTGTTGACAATAAATATAAACACAAACATTGCCAACACTAAAATGCACAGTAATCAGAATGACTACAAAAAAATAGAGTGACAAAACTGACATACACAGTGCTCGCAATAAATACAAACACCAACAGTAACAACATGAACAAACACAGTAATCAAAATTAAAAAAAAACACAATCTCAAAACAGTCAAACACAGTGGTTAGAAAAAAAATTTCACATGTACAGTGACAACAGTAACGTTCATCATAATGGGAATGAACACAAGGAAAAAGAGTGAAAACAAAGTCATACACAGTGTAACACCTGGCAAATTTTAGCTAGCTGAACATTTAACCTAACTATTAAGTTTTACCATGTATTGCCAATGACTAATAAGAGTACGCTGTAAGGTGCTGACCCCTATTGCTGATAGAAAGTATTAACCAGCAAATAGTTTCTTTTGATTGTCTTTTAATGAGATTCCTTGAGGGGGTTTAAATTTCCTAGCACAGCACATTCCTTTGTTCTGTTCTTGAGAGGAAGAAAACGCATTTTTAATAATCCCAGAAGTTGTTTAAACCAAGTGTATACCTTTGAGAACCCTGTCCAACCAGGAATGTGAGTAAAATTATTTTTTAATGTCATTTTTTGTAACTGGAGAGAAATTAAGATGCGCTTAGTTAAGTGAATTGTTGTTTTTGGCTTGTTTTTGAGTTACTGAGAAGCAGAAGCAGTTTGACCCACATTGATTTTAATTGATTTATCTACACGTACTGTACTAGTTCTTTGCTGTGAAATTTAATGGTTTTTATGACACACCTTGTCTTATGTGGTAGAATTTTTATAAGTAAAACATGTTTAAGGTTCAATTAGATATTCTGAAGGAGTAATGCGCCTCATGCTTTCTCTGCTGTCTCATGTTACACAAATTGTGCTAGTTGTCTCAAAGATGTTGGGTGCCTAAATTGTGCCATATTGTGCTATTGCAGATTTCTCAATTACAGCATTCTAGATTATTTCCATTGTAATTATTGCATTAAAGTAGTTAAGTATTTCATTTATTTATTTATTCAATTTTTTGTTTCAGTTTAAACTTTCGTTGATTGACGAGTATTTTATAACTGGTACAGACAGAGAAGAGAATAAACAACTTATATCACCCCAACAAGACTCTATTCCTTTTCTAACACTACTTGTGTTACACACAGTCATCACAATATATACAAACCAGGGGCGGATTTAAGCCGTCTTCTGGGTCTTCCGGAAGACGGTCAGATTTTCAAGTTTACATTGACGGGTATCTAATTTTTTTCTGTCGGAAGACGGTCAAAAATGAACAATGGATCAACAAAGATAATTTGGAAGACTGTCAGAAAATATCTCTGAATCCGCCCCTGCAAACTCATTCAGTAACAATACAGAATAGACACAGCAAAGAGAATATAAATATTAAGAATATTAACAGGCACATAGAGATACAGTGACAATGCCATCATGCAGAGTAATGGTAATGATTACCAACAAATAGAGTGACAAAACTGACATACACACGGCGGGATTGGGTATCAGATCCACCGCGACATAGGTCCAAGAATAAATCAACACAACTTAGTATGTACTTCAGGTTTATGCAACATTGTAACCTTGCAGACTTAAACCTCTTTCTGCATTACCCCTTCTATCGGTATACTACATGTGCCCTTACATTCGCCTGTCAACAAACACTACTTCAGCACCAACATATTTACTTATCCTTTCAAAAAAATATGTCACTCTAAAACATGTTGTAGATAACAGCAGTTGTATTCATGGAACAGTGTAAGTTTACATTTTCATGATATTATTACATTAGTTCTTGGACTAATCAATCTAAAACAAGTTAAAGTTACACAGATACAAAACATACCAAAATTTTAGTGCAAAGGTTGAGCATAAACAAACAATATGATTATAAATACAAATACGAGTAAGAAGTTATTACAATGATTAGCTAAGTATGTCCTTGCTCTCACCCATGTGGCTCTGAAGGTAGAGAAAAGGAGATATAAAGGCTTGACCAGTATCTCAACTAGAACCGACTAGGAAGTATACTGGTACAAAAGAAAAGATTTAAGAAAAGAGAGACCACACCAGGTAAAGACAAGATCTTACCAGTTTCTCATTTTAAATAAGCCAAGGTTTAATAATTATTATAAAGATGTCTACTGCCTTTTCCTCTTTGATAAAAGTTTCTGTGATTGCCTTGCTGTTTGTGTCCCAATTCTTTGTTCAGTTTTTGTATTTTCTTTTGCAACAATTCATTTTCGTCATAAATTTCACAATATAGTTTGGCATTGTTCTTTGCAGTGTTGAAAGTTGTAAGATATATCTGTATGATGTCATCTATTGTTTTGTCCTTTTTAAATTTCAAGGTGTTGTCTATCACAAGGGTGCCAAGTCCATGATTTGTTATAACATTGCTGAATCTTTTCAGATCTTCTTCAGATTTGCACACTGTTTCTTCTAACATTTTGATCCTCAATTCTATTTTTGAAATTGTGCTTTCCAAACTCTGCATGGTTTTTAGGCTCTGGTCCAACTGTGATTCTTTCTTTTAGATCTCTTTAGTAAGTTTATGGCACTTAGCTTGTAATAGCTGCAGTTCTGTTTTGGAGGTTGCAGATAAGTCTATAACATCAGCCAAATTTTCACACTCTTGGAATGGTAAATCAGTCCGGATATTGATTTTTGAAAAACTATTTTCTTCTGTCACAGGTAACTTACTTGTGTCTACGGTTTCTTCAGATAAAGGAACAGCCCTTCTCATTTCTCTCTCTTCCAGCCATTTTTGTTTTCTCTGTTTATCTCTCCTTATTCTAGATGGTGTCTTTTTCTTCACTACTTTCATTGCTGAGAGGGTGTTGACCTCACTGCTCATCATTTTCGGGGTCCTTGGGTCTGTTTTCCACTTCAGGGTAATAAACAGTTCTTCACCCACCTTACTCACACTGTACATTGATGGTACTTGGTCGACTTCCAGTAGAATATTAAAAATAGCTGCTGGTAAGATATTTTGTCTCCCAAGTCTTTCCATCTTTGTTGCGAGAGGTACTGGGGAAGTTACAATGCCTAAGGTCCTCCAACAGTTATCACGGCGGGATTGGGTATCAGATCCACCGCGACATACAGGTAGGTCCAAGAATAAATCAACACAACTTAGTATGTACTTCAGGTTTATTCCTGGTCAAGAGCTGGGACCTCCAGTCAGCTTGTTCAGCTGTCTGGTGTAGCCAAGTCCAGTCTTCCTTCTCAGAGAATACATACATGTTATATAGCCTATCTGAACAATGCACAATGAACAATGAACTTAATTACATGTAGGACGATGACTTAAGTTTAAATTATAATTAAAGAGTGTGGTCGGAGACGTCTGGCTATGCTAACAGAGAGACCACTGTCTGACCATTTCCTTTGAAGCCAAATGACACATCCGACCCATTAATTTTACAATAATTCAGTTGTGATAGTGCTCACAATAAATACCAACACGAACAGTGACAACAAAAACATGCACAGTAATCAAAATAAATAAAAACATACACAGTCAAAACAAAAAAAAATTCACATGTACAGTGACAGCAGTAACATTTACCGTAATAAGAATGAACACAAGGAAAAAGAGTGAAAATGAAGTCATACACAGTCATCACAATATATACAAACACATTCAGTAACAATACACAATAAACACATAGACACAGCAAATACCATATAAACAGACACATAGACATACAGTGACAACACCATCATGCAGAGTAATAGTTATGATTACAAACAAATAGAGTAACAAAACTTAAACCACGGCTAGCACGTAGAACAAAAGACTCGGCCGTGCTGTATTTGACATACAAGCACGTCATGTACGAGTGCGTTCCACGGTTTGTTGCACTACTAGTGTAGTAGACAATCAGAGGCCGTGGTTTAAGCCAGATACAACACTCGTCGCCGAGCTGTACGTGAAAATTACTCGTGTATTGTCTCGCCTGCGGCTCGCCAATACACTCGTAATATTTCACGTACAGCTCGGCGACTCGTATTGTATCTATCACTGACATACACAGTGCTCACAATAAATACAAACATCAACAGTAACTACACCAACAAACAGTAATCAAAATAAATACAAAGAAACACAGTCACAAAACAGACAAAGACAGTGATTAGAAAAAAAAATTCACATGTACAGTGACAACAATGACATTCACCATAATGAGAATGAACACAAGGAAAAAGAGTGAAAAATTTTCAAATGTACAGGGACAACAGTAATATTCAGCTCGGCGATGAGTGTTGTATCTGGCTTAAACCACGGCCTCTGATTTGCTACTACATTAGTAGTGCAACAGACCGTGGAACGCACTCGTACATGACGTGCTTGTATGTCGAATACAGCACGGTCAAGTCTTTTGTTCTATGCGCTAGCTGTGGATTAAGTATATTTATATATATAGTTATAGTTATCTGTTTATATATATATACATGTACACAATAAACAGGTCATATATACATATATATATTAATCTAAACCTTGGAAATTTTAACATACATTTATACCCTACATATATTTAGCCATCAAACATGTACTACTGCTACACACATCCAGGCTAAAAGGGTGTACCATGCTTAGGTGCAAAACATGCTTAGGAGCTAAATGCGTTGAAAAATCAGACAAAGCAGGCACTTGGATGTTTTTACAGTGTACTTTATAATTGTGTACCTGTGTTTTGTACCAAAAATAAAAACATTTCAGGTCATTTAATGTCTTTTTATGCAAGAATGTTGTCCAACAACTGGGTTTGATACATTGTTATCTGACGTTGATCTCATTTTCAAATCCAATGTTAATCCAACATCTTGTCAACGTTGAAGCTCAACATTGTTTCAACATTGAAACAATAAAATTTCCTGCTGGGTGGGGTTGATATAACATTGTTTTTTGACATTGATACAACATTGTTATCTGAGGTTGACACAATTTTCAAATCCAATGTTTATCCAATGTCTTCTCAACGTTATGGTTCAACGTTGTTTAAATGTTAAAACAACATAATTTGGGACAGCAAACAGAATATAAACAGACACATAGACATACAGTGACAACACCATCATGCAGAGTAATAATAATGATTAAAAACAAATAGAGTGACAAAACTGACCTACATAGTGCTCACAATAAATGCAAACATGAACAGTAACATCACCAACAAACACAGTCATCAAAATAAATACAAACAAACACAATCACTAAACAGACATACGCAGTGATTAGAAAAAAAATTCACATGTACAGTGACAACAGTAACATTTACCGTAATAAGAATGAACACAAGGAAAAAGAGTGAAAATGAAGTCATACACAGTCATCACAATATATACAAACACATTCAGTAACAATACAAAATAGACAGCAAACATGTACAGTGACAACAGTAATGTATATCGTAAAAAGAAAGAAGACAAGGAAAAAGATTGAAAACATAGCAGTACACAGTCATCACAATATATGCAAACACATTCAGTAACCATACAGAATAGACACAGCAAATATAAGATAAACAGGCATACAGTAACAATACCATCATGCACAGTAATAGTAATGATTACAAACACAGTAACAAACTGACATACACAGTGATCAAAATAAATATTAACATGCACAGTGATGATAGTAGCGTGCACCGCAATGAGAATGAACTAAAGGAAAAATAGTGAAAACATGGCCGTAAAATGTCATCACAATATATATGAGCACATTCAGTAACAATACATTATAGACACAGGGGACAGAATATAAATGTGCACATGGAGATACATAAGATAAACAAACACACAGGGACACAGTGACAACACAATCATGCAGAGTAATAGTAAATCCCTATTTCACAAAGAAAATGTTCCTATTGCAATGATGTGGAGGACGAATTCCATTTTATACTGGGTTGCTCTAGATATTTAGATTTAAGAAAAAGGTTCATCAAACCTTTCTACTGCAATAGACCCTTGGTGTTCAAATTGGTTCTCCTGCTGAATTCTTCCAGTAAGAAAGTATTATGTAACCTGGCACGATATCTTAGCCAAGCAGGAAGGCTTCGGCATGAGATCTAATCTAATTTGATCTAATTTGATCCAATTTGATCTCATTTGATTCAATTTGATTTAATTTGATTTATTTAAGTAGTTTATTTATATTTAAGTACTCATGTATCTAATTTACTACAGGTACTATTATTATTGTTATGATGATTATGATTGCGATTATTTATATTATAATTATTCTTTGTAATAACCCTATAGTTGTTGTAACTTCAGTCGTTGTAACATTTGTACCAGTACTAGACTGATGGTCCTCAAGAGACCAAGGTAATAAATAAATGAAATGAAATAGTAAAGATTACAAACAAATAGAGTGACAAAGCTGAAATACACAGTGCTCACAATTAATACAAACACCAACACTGACAACACAAACATGCACAGTAATCAAATTAAATACAAACAAACATAGTCAAAATACAGACATACACAGTGATCAGAAAAATTTTTGACATGTACACTGACAACAGTAACATACATCGTAAAATGAAAGAGGACAAGGAAAAAGATTGAAAACATAGCAGTACACAGTCATCACAATATATATACAAACACATTCAGTAACAATACAGAATAGACACAGCAAACATAAGATAAACAAACACACAGGCACACAGTGACAACACCATCATACACAGTAATAGTAATGATTATAAACAAATAGAGTGACAAACTAACATACACAGTGATCAAAATAAATATTAAGATGTACAGTGATAATAGTAGCGTACACCGCAATGAAAATGAACAAAAGGAAAAAGAGTGAAAACATAGCCGTAAAAAGTCATCACAATATATATGAACACATTCAGTAACAATACAGAATAGACACAGGAGACAGAATATAAACAGACACATAAAGATACATAAGATAAACAAACACACAGGGATACAGTGACAACACAATCATGCAAGAGTTATAGTAAATATTACAAACAAATAGAGTGACAAAACTGACATACATAGTGCTCATAATAAATACAAACACAAACAGTGACAACACAAACATGCACAGTAATCAAAATAAATACAAACAAACACAGTCACTAAACAGACATAAACAGTGATCAAAATAAATATTAACATGTACAGTGACAATAGTAATGTGCACAATAATCAAAATGAATACAAACAAACGCAGTCACAATATAGACATACACAGTGATCAGAATAAATTTTGACTTGTACAGTGAAAACACAACCATGCACAGTAACAAGAATAAACACAGTCATGCACAGTGAACACAATATATATACAAACACATTCAATGACAATGCAGAATGGAATCAGTTATCAGATTATAAACAGACACATAAACTATGATGACAGTGACAACACCAACATGCACAGTTAAAATAATGACTAGAAATAAATAAACTGATAAAACTGACATACACAGTGCTTTCAATAAATACAAACACCAACAGTAACAACACCAACAAACACAGTAATAAAAAAATACAAACAAACACAGTCAGAAAAAAGACATACACAGTGATTAGAAAGGAAACATCACATGTACAATGACAACAGTAACGTGCACCATAATGAGAATGAACACAAGGAAAAAGAGTAAAAAACATAGCCATACACAGTCATCACAATATGTACAAACTCATTCAGTAACAATACAGAATAGACACAGCAGACAGAATATAAACAGGCACATAGACATATAGTGAACAACATCATCATGCAGGGTAATAGCAATGATTATTTAAAAATAAAGTGACAAAACTAACATACACAGCGCTTATAATAAAATACAAACATGAATAGTGACAACACAAACATGCACAGTAATCAAATTAAATACAAACAAACACATTATTTTGCATGATGATGTTGTCACTGTTTGTGTATGTGTCTGTTTATATTCTGTTTCCGGTGTCTATTTTGTCATGTTATTGAATGTGTTTGTACATTTTGAGATGACTGTGTACGACT